CCCCCCCACCCAACTGTGGGAACCAGTTTTGAGTCATTCCCGCCAGCTGGCACACGTTACACGGAGATGACTCACGGCCCGAGGGCCTCTGGAGCCCGGGCTCTTGTTTGCGCTCTTGATAGTTGTTTGGAGCCACATCCGCACAATTTAATCAAGGTGAAAATGTCGGCGTGACGCACGAGCCGCCTCTGCCAGTGATGCCGCACGTGTCGCGGCGCCGCCGAGTCATGTTGAGGGTTCTGTTGCCTCCACCCCGCAGCGCCATCCGAGGGATTGACTTGCGTGCATGCGAAAAGTAGTCGACATAAGGAGCACAGACGTCCGCTGAAATCAAAAGCGATCAGCGGCCGATCATCAAAGTGCTCGTCAAAGTTTGACACCAAGCTCCGCCTACACGAGAGGCAACAAAACGGAAATGTAGCATCGTCCATCTGGCTGGGAAATCATTTGAAGCTCATTTGGACGAATTCTTTTGTAGGAGTTTACGCAAAGTGGCTGCTCCAAACCGAAATGGGCGACTAATTTCATGCATGGGTGACCCGAGAGGTTTTTTTTTTGGTTTATTTGTCCTGTTCTGATAGACAATGTCACACAGGGGACCGGAGTGAGCCTCGTTTTAAACCCCCAGACGTTTTTTTGAAGATATCCATTTTTACCCTTCTGGTGTATCTGTCTAAAATAGTTGATCATTCCATCCAACGACGTTTCGGATTGTCTTTGATCAAAAATTTCAATAGTTCAAATCCGTGTTATGAGAACATCAGACATTTTACATTGAATGTATCAAATGCTGCTCAGACAGCAAAGTCAAGGCAGCTAACACTGCACTTCCCGTCAGAGCTTTTATTTTGTACACTATTCTTACCACTTCCGGTACGCTACCTCGCGAACTCGAGCAACTTTACAAGCCACACTTGTGACTGTGTTTTAGATTGTTGTGACTTGGTGACACCCTTAGTTGCAAAGCTAGTGCATTATATCCATATAAAAATAAATATGCATACACATAGAAAAGGCTTGCTAAATGAATTAAAAAAATATTAATTTAAAAAACAAAACAGATCCGTTCTAAGTGTTTCCTGTTGTGTTTTGCAGCTGCAAGGGTCTTTACGGCGAAAGCTGGAGGGACACGCCCCCAAGCACAACTCTGTCTCGTGCAGTTTTTCCGGGTCCGACTTCAAGCGAGTCCGGCTGGAGACCGGTGGCGGTCTGGGGCGAGGCCCGTGCAACCACGGCTTAAGCCACGCCCACTCTTCGCAAGCCCACTCTTCGGCCGGCGGGAAGAACTACGTGATGCCGGACGTGTTCGACGCCACCCTGAAGGAGATGAAGAAGGAACCCGGCGAGGCGCAGTCTTCGTGCAGCCGCTCCCGCGCCGACGCCGTCTTTGACTTCAAGGACGAAGGCGGCGCTCAGATCGACCCGGAGCTGCAGGACCTTTTCGACGAACTGACCAAGTCGGTGCCGCCCCTCAACGACTTGGACTTGGAGAAGATGCTGAAGCAGGACGACGCCTTCGGTTTGGACCTGGGCCGCCCCGGCTCGACGGGCCTGGGTTCCCCTTTGGAGAGGCCGATTAAGATGGAGCGCTCGCCCGATTACGCTCAGGTCCACGTCAGCTCGCCGCAGCTGCGACCGGCTTCGGCGGGGCCGTCATTGGCGCTGACCGCCCCCACGGCCGCGCAGAAGGCCGGCGCCCAGCAGTCGGGACCGCCGAGGTCCATGCCCTGCTGGCCGGAGATCTCCCACGCGGAGCAGCTGAAGCAGATGGCGGCCAACCAGCATCAACCCGGCACGCTTCTCCACCATCAGCATCACCAGGCGCCGCCCGCCGGGCTGGCCGGTTGGGGTCCCGCGATGGGCCCCGCCTTCCAGGACAAGGGGGCGCGGCCGAGGCTCCCCCAGCACAGCAAGGGCGTCGCCAACTGCCTTTTCAAGTCCAACGGCGTCCACCACGTGGAGATGAAGCCGCTCGCCGCCAAGCCCACGTTGCATTTCAGCCCCAAGTCGGTCCCGCCGCTGCCGCCCTCCTCGGGGCGCATGATGCCCATGATGGCGGGCAACAAGACCGCCAACCATCCGCAGCAGCTTTCACCTCCCGATGCCCAGAACCACACGAATCCTCCGCCTCCGCCGCTTCATTTCCAGAATCAACAGATGTCCTCGTCGACAGCTCTCCTGCAGGAAGGGACGCTGCCCTTCAAGCTGAGCCAACATCAGCAGGTGAGGACGCCGCTTTTAAAGCTAGTTACTATGAACCGCGATTGAATCCTTAAAAAAGAACATTTGTTTACATCTTTGAATCCGATGGCACACCGTGTATCGAAATACATATCGAATCGACTTTTGTAAGAGAGATGCAACAGATATAAATTGGTTTGACGTGAGAATTTAATTAAAAACCGTAATGTATGACGTGGCGCGGACCTGGAAATCTGAACTTGTGACCGCGACAGGGCATTTTAGGACATTTATGGACATCTGTGTGCATTTGTTCATATCTACCAAGGTTTGAATGAAAGTCAAAGGTTCCGAAGTTGAGGACGACCTCTATCTCTATTTTTTTATTTACCTCTAGATAAGTTCAGTGCTTCAGAAGTGTCACTCCACCTGTTTACGTGTCTTTTCAGGAAACGTGAAAATTTCTATGTTGAAATATACATGGGAGGATGACCCTGAAACATTGCAATATTGAGGGGAAAAAAAAAATCCAGATTTGTTTTTTTTTCTTTTCAAAATCATTCAAGCCTAATTGAGAGATTAAGCTTGTGAGGCGGGCCCTGTATCTTGGTGGCCCTTTGTCACACATGCAGCGTCCAGTTGCATTATTCATGCCTCACGTGCCACGAGTCGTCGCCCTCTCCAAGAAAAAGCCCGCTGGAACCAGAGGGCGGGCTTGTCATTACTTGCACGCTGTGAAGGACGAGCGTCCGCCAGGATGTGGAAAACAAGAGCACCGCGTTGTCAAAACAAGCCCATCGTCGTCTGGAACCACACATCCAAGGCATTCTCTTATCTGACGACTGAAAATGGGACTGTTCGGATTTAAGGAAGACAAAAATGCAATGCGGTTTGTTCTCGGACCTGGCAGGTTTTTGACTCCCTCTTGTTTTTGTGAGCGCCCCCCCTCCCTGCTCCCCACCCCCGGAATATCTGTTCTCCCCTCAGTGTTTTTGACGCTGACGCAGTTTGCCAGCGCACGGTACATTAACATGCAAGACTTCTCATTTGTGGGCGCCGGCTGGCTGTCAGGCCGCTGATATGCGCAGCAGGATTTGCTAATTGGAGGTTGTTGGCTGCGAGCGACAAGTGGTGGAAAATGACAGTAATCTGCTTAGCCTGGTGCCCGAGGTTGAATCGCTGATTTATGATGATGTGTGGGAAACACACACACATACACTCACCCCCACGGAACGAGGGGTTCGGGTTTGCACCGTCCCAGTCCAGTATCTGTTCCTGCGTTTGTGTGAGCCATAATGTGAGCGCACTATAAACACTTGGCTTTAAAAAACTGGACTTTGTTTACACTGAATTGTCCAAAGTGTGAATGTGGGTGTGAGCGGTTGTCGTTCCGCGCCCTGTCAATGGTTGGCGACCAGTCCAGGGTAGCAGGCCTGCCTTCTCACTCAAAATCAGCTGAGGTAGGCTCCATCTCACTGTTGAGAATCATGACGACGAAGGCTACGGAAAAGAGATGAATAGGCCCGTGCATCGCAATGGATTTGTGTACCTAATGAAGTGTCCCGCGAGGGTATTCATGCAAAAGAAAGAACCAGTTGGACCCCCATGTAATGTTTTAGTCATTCTCCACACAGATGAATCAAAAGGTGTCCTTGCAAAATTTCTCGAACATATTTTTGGTTCCGTTTTGAAAAAGGACATAATAGACATTTTGCAAGCTTGCTTTGCATTTTTACTTCAAACCAAAGGGGGGCAGCACATGACCAGGCTGAGCTGTTCACACTGCAGCTCAGAATGAAGACACTTTTTTTTTCAAAATAAATGTTACTTTTATTATCACAATGATTGTTTCTGCCATTTGTTTTAAAATTATTTTAATTTTTATTTGGATTTTTTTTTTAATTTGTAATTCATAATATGTATATATATATTTTTTTTTTATGCAGTATTTTCTGTTGGGGGACAAAAACATGAAAACCACGGCAGCTTTTTCAATCACAATGAAAATACAGAGAAGAAGAAAGTGGCTTGACTGGATTATACTGCCCCGCGTTGGCAAATGTGGGCACAATCGAAGGAATCACACAATGAAATGAAGCGTGAAGTTTGTGCCACTGTGACGCACTTGTTAGCAGGAGATTCTGGGGACCCTGGTCGTGGG